TCTCTATCATCAATGGCTATTCCCGGCTTTCCAATGCACCTAGGTGTGTAATTAAAGGTCCTAGAGCAAATTTGAAGACGTCGGCGGATTTCCAAAAACATATCAGATGTCTTAGTATATCCATGGAGATCCAAGGATGTCCATGGGGATCTGTTGATATCCATGGATTTCCAGATGATTTCCGAGGATCTCCAAAGATGCACGGTGGATATCCATGGATTTCCACACCAAATGGATGTATGGTGTACAAAATTCCATTTGCGATTTCCCCCTCGTGGATGGGTATCATGGTACATTCGAAACTGAGTATGTAGCTATGTAGGATAAATGGATAAATGAAATGGTAGATGAGTAAATGAAATGACAAATGAGTAAATATGAGGTAAATGAGTAAATCAAATGGTAAATGAGTAAATGAAATGGTAAATGAGTAAATGAAATGGTAAATGAGTAAATAAGTAAATTAAATAGTAAATTAGTAAATGTTTGGTAAATGTGGTAAATAGTAAATTGGTGTACACTAAAATACTAGGTGGTCTACCCCTCGATATTGCTACTATAAATTTAGCTGTTTTTAATTAATCTCACTTGCTCAATACTATTTGTCGGATTGTTTGGGGGAGTGGGGGGGGGCGGGGCTAAACTCTTCTCTTCGGACACCTTCTTTAATAAATTAATATTGCAATTAGTAAAATAAATTAGTATTGAAATGAATTTGTTTACAGGTTATATTCATCACCGAATACATGTCGTCTGGATCACTGAAACAGTTCCTAAAGCGTACAAAGCGCAACGTAAAGCGACTCCCCCTTCAAGCATGGCGACGATGGTGTAAGCAGATCCTCTCCGCTTTAAGGTAATAATAACTAACGAGCCAAGCTCTCTATCTTTTACATATTTTTGCGGAATTTATATGTCCTAATATTTTAGTTTGTAAGTTTAATTATAGGTGTAGGTTTTGTAAGTTGACGATATATCTATATATTTACTCGATAATTTTATTATTCTATTGTATTTGTATTGTATTTGTTAACTCTGTGTTCACAGTACCAACCTAAAGGTAAGTGAGCACTAAAGTTTTAATTTACGGAACTTCATAACTATGCTTTACAACAGTGCAGATTGTGAAGTTTAATGTTTTGTTAAGTTCATGTCTGTGTAAATGTACAAGTAAGTAGTACATAGAATTATTGAACAAATGCGAAACATTAAAGTTCCATGTTTGTGGCAGAACATTCCAGCGAGAACGGACTACGGACTACATCAGTACTTTGATCTGCAGTGTGTTTTCTTTCCAGTTACTTGCATTCCTGTTCCCCGCCAATCATCCACGGCAATCTCACCTGTGATACCATATTTATACAGCACAATGGCCTCGTCAAAATTGGATCAGGTAATCACCTCGTCTGACAATCAATCAATGATGAAATTCATGATATTAATCGCTTTTATTGGCTCTCTTTTGATAGTTTGCTGATGATGAGGATTTTTTGGTAAACAACTGTTACGCATCGCTCAGATTTTTGCCTTTCCCCAGTTGTTGCATGGCGATTTACTATTTGAATTCGTCATCAGCTGACTACCGTTATGCATATTCTGTGCGGAAATGTGGAATTTCTGAACAATGCAATAAGGTACAAAATGGACATAATTCCGTTAATCTCTTCTCGCTCATTTATGAATGTACAACGCCTTCCAAGCTTTCGGGAGCTAGTTAGTCAATTTTGGACCGTCACACCTCAGAAAAAAATTTTAGTAAAGAAAACTAGAGTTCTGGAAGCGTGGAGAGGTTACTGTTTGGGTTTCAGTTTTACATTCATTCGGAATGCACGAGGAAAGATACTCTGTAAAACGGTTTTTTGCTTGCTTGGATCTTAATCGTTTTTGAAGCTTAACATAATGCGTCCATTGCTGACCCACTCATCATAATATGGTGTGGGGTGTTCATCTTTCAATTAAAAACTACATTGCATCTAATTGGCGTTAAAAGCGATTCGATAGTTGTTTTACCATCAATTGCTAATCATTAGCTTGTAAAAGGCAGCTCCAAATTCATTACTAATTGTTATTATCATTTTCTTTAGTTGCACCTGATTCGATAAACCATCATGTCAAAACATGCCCAGAGAATATTAAAAATATGCATTTCTTTGCTCCAGAATATGGTGGTAAGTTTTTTTCCTACTAAAAATTTGCATTTGTTAATCAATACGAAGTTCTGCAATCTTTCTCTCTTAATCTTTATGCAATCTGGAACAAGCAATTAATTTAGACTCATTTGTACTCAATATATTTATTATCATGTTTAAATACAACATAAATAAGAGACCGTCACATTTATAGACCATTAAAACTTTAATTTATGTTAGCTGTTTAGGAGAAAAATGAATGCTTTTTGCACCAAATTTGTCAAGCGGCAAAATAAATCATTGAATGCCAGTAACAAACCACTCATTCTCATCAAATGAAAAAGTTCACAATTTAAAAACTGTACACGTCACCAACATGTTCAGACATTCAAATTAGGTGCTGTAAAATCATTTGTTTTCCCAGTACGTTCATACTTTGTTCAAATGGAAAGGTTTTTATTCCATGCCACAAGGCTGTGTTATCTGGATTTATATAAGTTTCCGGTTTGGGGTTGTTGCAATATTTTTTATTGTAAACAATATTTTAATTACAAAAAGCTATGTGAATGAAAAAATGTCTGTCACCTCATGAAAATGCGTCTAAAATACAAGGGAGAACGTTCAAGATAATTTCTTTAAACTTGACGCATAAAATGTATGGCTACTTTTCCGATAAAACCAAACAAAATATTTTCAAGATGGGCGGCACTGTCGCTTAGACCGGAAGTCGATACTTGGTATGATGGTTTTTTATTTAGTTTTCCCATTATGCATTTTAATCAAATATATATTTTTGACTGGAAATAAATGAGTTCATACTGTTCGATTGGAAAACCTTCGCGCATTGATATTTTTTCATAAATATTTAAGTTCCATCTTTTGTTTTTGTGTATCTGAACCGATGTTCGAATGTTAGAAAATACGTCAACACTATACAGTGGCGTTCGTCCAATTACAAAAACAATGTAAACATTTCTTTTATGCTTTTCACAGTCACATTTTGTTAGTATAAAAAATAAATAAGTGGTTTTGACGTCTGTCTCCCAACATTCGCTTGTCAGTAATAATTCGGTTCAATTAATAAATAATAGTCTAGCTTTTGTTGACTCTTTTGTTTATGCATAAATGTGTGCTTATTTTAATGTTGCAGATTAATGTGTCAAGCATTCAGCAACGAGTTCCAGTTTGTTGCAAAGAATGGAAATTTGTTTGGAACAGCAGGGAAGAGCTTTACAGCACCTTTTTAAAACTAAAATAAAATAGTATGTTAACTTAGTTAAACGAACCGTTAATTGTTTCAGTTATGTGTAGTTAAAGACGCAATGGATAATAGCTTGAACTGCCTTGTTATTTGGTATTGTTAATTTACTACAGTAATGTTTAAATTTGGTCACAAATATTAAAATGTGTATGAACTAAATTAAAACCTGTACAGGATGCTGAAAGTCGTAATCTGCAAAAATTGCCATAAAATAAACAAAAGAGTGTCATGGCAAAAGTTGAACTATTATTATTTATTAAGTGGTCCAAATTATTTTTGACAAGCTTGGGAGACAAAGCCCACCATTTATTTTTTTTTTGAAGGTGGTATAAAAACGTAAATAAATCATAATCTGTAAGAGATAGGTGTAGTGTAATAAAAAATATGCATCCTATTAAAAAAATTAAGTGTGTTGTTTTTGTAATTGACAAACGTCACTGAATAGCTAGCGTTGCTCCTCAACCCATTTTCTAATATTCGAACCGTACACAAAAGATGACACTTAATTATGGAAAAATATCGAGTTCAAGCAATTATTTCCAGTAAAAAAACTGAAATTTTTATTTTCCTCAACAACTATCCAATGTGTTTTATTAACATTTTTAGAATTAAATGCAGAATACGAAAAGTGAATAAAATTCAAAATAACATAGTATCGGCTTTTGATCGAAACTTACAAAAGTGTTAAATATGTTTGTTTCATCGGAAAATTAGTCATATTTTTATGTGTAAAGTTTAATAAAATTATCTTTAGTTGCCACAAAACGTCTAACTGGCGCTCTCTTATACTATCCAAAAAAAAGTTCTAACTTGTCTTCAATGCCCACTATTTAAAAAATATTTGGAATATACAGGGTAGTTTAATTCCTAACATACAAAAATGTAGTGTAAATTTGCCTCATTTCATTTTAGTCATGTGTCAGTTTGGCATCATTGCGGTGAGCAACAAGGATAGCGTTATCGAAGAATGACGCAAATTAGTAAGAGAGCCATTTAGTCCATAAGATCCCATACTGCATCTGGAGGTGCGAACGTAGTACAGTAACAGATTTAAAAATCACTTAATTAACTATTACAAACACTTTGTGTTCTATCCATAATTTTACTGTAACCTGAAGCTATTTATTACCGTGAAATATTATTGAAGTGGATTCGTTAAAAAGTAATACCAAATTTAAGAAGTTAAATTTGAAATTATATCCCAAATTTCTTATACATTCCAAAAGAGCAAATGAAATCTCCATTCAAATTATCGAGGAGAGGGTCATTCCCATCGTATGGGAGGGTGGATAGGCTCCACGCGTAGTTTCTAGAATCAGACCCCAGCCAGTGCCTCAATATTCGCAAACTCATGCCAGTTCAAGATCGCCCCGGGTGAGTTGCTAACACTGGAGCAAGCACTGACCTGGCATCTTTAGAGAGGAAAACTCAGCCCCCCCCCCCTCCTCCGGCGATTAGGTTACATTAGGAGACTGTCATTTAAAAAATGATTCTGATTTTATTGTTAATTTGATTTTATTTATAGTCCCCAGATGCAGCTTTAAGACAGCATTACTTACAGTGACTCTATAGAGACAGTGTGGTCATCACAGAGTTGTATATAGTAAATAGAGGAGCAGTGCATAGAACCTGTGCGTGGAAAAATAACTCCAACTACAGTGGCCACATACTTATGTAGTTGACACGAATCAGCTGATTTGCTTTGCTCGCAGCTATGTTGTACTGGTTAGTGAGCACACTCGCCTACTGCCTGCGCAAGATTCAATTGGGGTCAATTATCCACAACAACACTGTTTCTCTATTTACTATATACAACTTTGTGGTGGTTAGACAGTGGTCTTATTTTCTATTGGTAGTTGGGGAAATCCGCCATGTTTTGGTCAAATACACAGGATTGGTTGAAAATAAGCTTCAAACCAAGGTGATGAATTTGTTTTGTTGGTCACAATGGTGACAGCATTATTGTAACCATATACTAATTTGGTTAAACCAATCAGCTCGATGATATGTTGGAAAAAACATGGCCGATATGGAGCATTATGGCCATACTATCTTTTTGTACAGTTACTGTAGCATTATTTAACTCCCTATATTGACAGATTATCGCAATAGATTGCCCACATTATGGCAGCGGGATAGCTTTGTTTATTGTTCTCAGATTTTTAACACTAAAATTTGCAATATTTTTAAATTTTATTGCTTATTTCAAAATTTGCGTACTTTTGTCTTCCTAATAAGCAACTATTCCGTCTTCTATCGATTTAGGAACATTACTTTCGCTGGTTCCTTTCACTAAGCTTATAAGTTTTAAATGTTTAAAGCAAGGTTTACAGTTTCTACTTGTGTTTTTTAAAGCCCCAAAATCCCAAAATTTTTCGCCATATTTAAATGCAACTTTTTATTGTTGGAATTTTTGAAATTTGGAATGAAAACAATCATTTTTCCTTCGTTTGCGTGCACGTCATCCGTTTATTACATCTGAATTAGGTATGTTTACATAGTATCTGCAATTGATAGAACAGAATAAATATGTAGTTGGCAGGATTGAATAATTTGTAAGTGGCTATAATTTTTTGGGTGTAAAATTAGTTGCTGTTTACATTCATTAATATTTAGCGAGTGTGGTTTAGGATTCATGGGAGGAGTTTCTGAGATACAAGGTGAATACGAAAAGTTTGTATGGTAGAAAAAGGGCAAAAACTGCCTATTTTAGATATTTGTATGTAGTGGCGTAGTAAAAAAAATTTTTGAACCCCCGTTTCTGAAATTTGACCCAAAGTTGGTATTTTTTAAATGCAACCTATACTTTTTCATACGGTTATATTTTAATATTATATCATATATTTCAAAATTTTGAAATGACAGGCTTCTACCGTCAACGAGTTTTATTGTTTGGTCTTTGTTACCATAGATAAATAAAATCTCCATGAATCCATGGCCTACTATTTAAACATTTGGGTGAAATCTCAGAAAGAGTCTTCTAAAATTCCATTCTAAATTAAGTTCAAACAATTTCAATAAGCGTTACTGCCCAGTGGGTGCTTGCTGGTTTTTACTAAAACTGTTTTTTTTGTAATTATTGCTGATTAATGAGGGATGTGTACATGTGTTGCTGTAATCACTGTGTTATTATTTTGATGATGGTCACTGTAGGCCAAAATATGTCAACATGGGTTGACGTTTCATTTTCAAATGCTCCTGAACTAAATTAATAATGTTATCACATTTTTATCATTTTCCGTTGTTGTATGTTATTGATATTCTATATCCTGTTCTGTTGGTACATGTCAATATCGTACTGAGGAAATTCTGCACGCTACATTATCACTTTTCCATCAATTATGTTTGGTTGTACGCCATATAATGGTAAGTGGGTATGGCAAATGCCTCTAAATATTTTTAGTTGCTTTCTTGGTATAATGTTTTTTTGTAGTTTTTCTTTGGAAATATCCATAGAATAGAATTTTTGCATTAGACCGGAAACAAAAGATATGATTGTGTAAAGTATTTTGTTACTAAGGCATTCAGATTATGATTTGACTTTGCGACCATATTTTCTAATTAATGATCACTTTTTGGTGTTAGTAAATGCTTTTAATTGTGGTTGCACCAGAACATCATATTGATTAATCTAGTTCGATACAAATTTGTTGCCATTTATCACTAATTATTTCAAATTTTAGCATCGGCATCATTAACTCCCGCACTGGATATATATTCTTTTGGTATGTGTGCGTTGGAAATGGCTGCTTTGGAAATACAAGGTAACGGAGATTCCGGTAATATTGTTACGGAAGAGAATATTTCGAAGACAATTGACTCGCTGGAAGACGAACAACAGAAAGATTTCATTAAGCGATGCCTCCATTCGGAACCCCAAGAGAGGCCGACCGCCAGAGAGCTACTCTTTCATCCCTTATTATTCGAAGTTCATAGTCTTAAATTACTCGCCGCGCACTGTTTAGCTAAGAATACTGGTAATTGTGCGTAGCACTAATTTTTTAAGCCTGAGATTACTCACCATTTTTCTCTTCGCAGCAAACATATCGGAAACAATTACAGATGAGCTCATGCAAAGGATATACAGTCCGGATGTTATAGTAGCCGTTATAAATCATTTGGACAAACCGGCAACGCAAATAAAAATGTCGGACGTACAGGGTGCTGAAAAACTAGAAAAATTTGTAGAGGATGTTAAGTAAGCTTGTTAACAATAATAAAGCACCTTTTTAAAACTCTCTGTGTAGAAATGGCATTTATCCGTTAACGGCCTTCGGTGCCAAACAACCTCCTCCGGCCAGATCGAGGGCCATTTCACCCGAAATGGCAGAGTCTGTCAAGTCGGTCACACCCGAACCTCTCGACACGGAAACACGAAAAATTGTAAATATGTTATGTGATGTAAAGTCTATCGAAGACAGCTGTGAATTAGCAGTACGTCCTTATACCTCAGTTGTCCGATAGTAATTTCGTGTTTTTATAGATGACAATTTTACTGCGAATGGATGACAAAATGAATCGACAGTTGACGTGTATTATTTCAGAAGCTGAAACGCCCACCCCCACTGCGCTAGCCCAAGAACTGGTGCATTACGGTTTTATAAACGAGGTAAATATTTTAAGCGCGAAACACTTTTTTGTTCATATTTGGTTTCTTGGCCATATTTTATTTACTAGCGCTGGGCGAACAAATCAGCTTATGGATGATAGTCCATTATTAATCGATAATTTGGTATTAATTTTTTCAGACAATGAGTCATCTGATTATAGTTATTTTTGTAATAAAGTTACCCAATAAATAGTCGGGATTCAAGTTTTTAAATAATCAATTATTAAGACATACTGGCTGATCGTTTATTTGATTGCCATTTAAATGATTAATTGATGGTTTGGTGTACAGACGTATTTGTTTTATTGATGATTCGATGAAGTGTATTATGTTTTAGTAAAGTCCACCTTTCTAATTTAAATGTGTCCATAGATTTTTAAGATTGTTTTGTTAGTAACAAGTGGACACTTATTAATTGATTTTGGGGTTTCACGATGTTGAAATCCACCTACATCTTCAAAGCTTTAAAACCTTTGCCAATTTTCGTTTCCTCTAAATAAATTCTTCAAGTACATGAACTGTAAAAGGATACAACTTTGGCACAAATCAGACAGGAGCCTATTGTGTCTGGTGAGTAAACAGCAAATGGTCAACAAGGCGCTTGTATTCTTGGAAAAAGAGTTAGTAATGCTCGCAAAATTCATTTGACATTTGACCTGGCCTTATGGGAATATTTTTTTCACGTGACATCCAAAGTGCAGCCATGCGAGTATGAAGTTCTGCCTACCGACTAGGAGGAAATACTAAAAACACCATATGCCCAAAATATTTACTTATCATTTTTCTCAATATACATAACACCCTGTATCTATCTAGATGGTGGTCTAATCACAAACTATTAAATGCCGGTTTACGCATATTTAAGATTTGACAAATCATTGAGTAGGTTTACATGGTGACCTAATGCAGGAGTTATAACTCTTAATTTTAGTAAAACCAGCGAGGTTTTATAAATCCTATTTGCTATAAATAAATAAAATTACTTTCTATTCCTTATTTACCAAATTGGTTAAAAATGTGTTCTAATAAATGAGGGCGATGCATGAGAAGTAGAACAAATATTTTAGATCTAGATAAACAAACGCAGAAGTTTATAACCTCAAATTCAACCGCGTGAAGTTGACAGCAGTAAAGTGAACTTTAGTTAAAATATGGTTACTATAGATTTCTTAATATGCTAATTTCAAACGGGTTATGACGCCAGCCGAATTTATAATTTATAAATAGGAGTCTGCTAGGGGCCCAAGACCACTTATTCTCATGAAGTGTTTATAATTTGTGTGTTACCACTATATTTCTTTTCTTACTTTTGTTACTCACTGAACAGACCACGTAACATAAGCCTTCTCGCTCTACAACTACATAAGTACTTTCACATACTACTGATAGTGGTTGGTGTTTAGTGGTCCACACCTAAATTTCTTCATAGAGGGAAATTGTAGATTCTTATAGAATGATAAATTCGGTTTCCAATAGAGGGCGCTGTGGTTTTTCAGGCGCTACGCTATATCTGAAGAAATAATGAAATGAACCACAGGGCATAGTCTCCCTCAAGCGTGATCCTTGCATAGTTACTTAGGACCATGGTAAGTGTAAGAACATATAAGGTAGGACGATGGTTTTACAAATCCAGCTTTTTAAATGTTCAAGTTATAGGCAACACATTATACAATGGCTGCTCTAAATGTGCATTTTATTAATTACACTGACACCTTTAGACCATTTTTACCACTCGTACGGCAGTAATAGAGAATTGCATTGGGGTAAAAATGCCCCCCCCCCCCACTTTTTTGACCGAAATACACACTTTGAAGCACCAGGAATCTGAATCACACAAAATCTCGATGATGTCGGTCCGTCTGTACTCTCATTTCCAGCTAAACGGCTGAACCGATTGGAACCAAATTTGGTACATATTATATTCTTAGACAGAATCGCGCATGCGCAGTTGTGCGGGGTGGTATCTGTGCCTGTCGCAGCAAATTTTTTATGCTGGTATGGAAAAAAATTACTCCCAGTCAGACCTATAATAGCTAGAAAGTAGAAAGAGACCCAATAAGTCCAATAAGCTAATGAGTGTCAGAGAGACATTTATCAAAGACAGCAGATTGACAGCAATTAAATGATACTATACTGCATGCATTATAAGAAGGTGGTCGATGGCGCTATGTTTTAAGATAAGCACACACAGGAACAATATAAAATGGCATCAAATTATTCTACAGTAGAAATATCTAGCATTCCGAACAGAAATAATTCAAATGATTTCACGCTTGGATTTTTGACATTAACAGCTAATGACAGTTTAGTTAGTATCAGAAACTACCAAACTACCAACTCAGAAAATTCATCACTCATCGTATTTTTGAGCGTGATACTGACTCATGTTTTAACCAATGACAGTGAAGGTCAAAGCTTCCCTATGCTTTCTACCGCCACTTACACCTCGACGGTGCTATCAGACAGCAACTCGCGCGAGAAATCGTACTAGAATATTCCCGCCTTTAGGTAGCGCTCATTGAGCGCTTCATCTGGTGACCACGCCCAGTGATAATTTGACAGTTTAGTTGGCAACGGAAACTGGTAGCTTAATAATGTGTATTTTGGTAGTTTAGCATCTGACGCAGTGTAAAATTAAGGCCCTGTTATACATATTGTGAGTTTAACCTTCAGTTTAGTTTAGCTGACACATTTCAGAAACACGATTGGTCAACTTGTGAAATATTAGCCAATCAAATCCTTTAACCCACAATTTAACTATAAACTGAAGTTTAAACTGACATTGTACAACAGGGCCTAAGATGTCTAGAAACTACTGATTAAATTAATCCCTAAGATAACCTTGCCAGGTCGTTGACTCTGAGGTCACATGCCATAGAGGTCATTCACCTTGTTGTAGAGGTTGCTCACTTCAAAATTGTAACACTGTTCGATCACTATATTGTATTTATCGTATTGATGTTAAGATAAGGATTTCAAACCTTTCTCAACTTCCGTGATGTTTTAAGAACTGAAAGAGATAGAGTGATGCAGTTTGCACTTCTTAAGTTACTTTATAAAGCTGCTTAGATTGACGGTGTCAATTTTGACGTATGACATGCGCGAACGTAGCGCAAAATGCAAATAAAAAGTTTTGCTTTATTATTTTTGATTATTATTATTATTTTTTATTATTATTATTATAATATTATTTAAATCGAATGTATAATATTGTTTTGCACCAATGCATTCCTTATTTTTTTTCTAATTAGAAAAATGCATAGTGAAGTGAAGCGACCTTTATCACAAGGCGTCTACAACAAAGTGAACAATATTTCTACGTCTTGGTGAATGACACAAGGTGAACGACTTCTACGGCAGGGTGAATGAGTCTACAGTAAATGATCTCTATAACTAGGTGAATAACATCTACGACACGTGACCTTGGAGTGAACTACCATGGCAGTCTTTGCAAGACAGAATTATGTTGTTTTCTTACGAAGATCACGATTGCGCGTATTTGATTCCAATTGGTTCAATCGTTTCGCCGAAAATAAAAATTTTTTTACTTGCGCGTGCGCGATTCTCCTCAAACGCTTTTCAGCTCTTCCTTTTAGGCCTAATAATATCTGTACTAAATTTGGTTTAAATCAGTTTAGCCGTTTAGCCAGACATGAGAGTAAAGACAGACAAATATACCGACAGACTCATTGAGATATTGTTTGATTCGGATTTCTGGTGCTTTAAAGCATGTATATCCGTAAAAAGAGTTGGGGGTCATTTTTTACTCCAATGTAATACCTTCCTAACTAACGGCCGAGGAATTTATTGTGGGGAAATGTAGTCTTCTATCTGTATCGTCTTGCGTTTTCGTAAGAAAACTCACCTAGAGGAAATATGGTACACTGAGTGGAAATTGCTTGTCTGTCTTGCATACATTGCCTCGACTAGACACTGGATTTATTTTGTGCTTAGACCAAAAGTAACAGTACATCTTGGGGAGGGTAGAAGAACAGCTGGTGTCTATCTTTACATCCTGTATGGATGAATAGGTTATTGCACTGACTTCATAATAGTCCAAGAGCCCAGTAGGAAAGTATACCTTGAACGCCCGGACGATTCTAATAATTTTCATAGGATTCGCCATAAAAAGTTGCATTAGAATCGACAACGGTGCCGGCGAAAATCCTGCCGAAAGCAGTTAAAAAAAATTAAATTCGCCCCTTACTTTTGGAAAATCTACTTTATTGTCCCGGACGTTCAAGAAGAGTACTAAAGGTTGCATATGGATGAGTTTTATCGGAAAAAGTCACGGTGCCGGGGCGCAACTTGCCGCAACCCTTGGCACCGCCACTACAAATGGGGTGGTAAATCGTACTAAACTACCTTTTTCTCCCGGACTAAAATGACCTATATGAAATATGTAGCTTGCGATTATACGAATATAAAAAACCAACGGTGCCGACTCTCAGGATGCCGGAAGTCCTCGGCACCGTCGATGGAATCCGGGCGCGTGCGCGAGCCTATTGGCACTGCGCCAATAAAAGAGGCGGTAAATTGTAATAATCCAGCTTGTTTTTCCGGACCAAAAAGTCCTTAATGAAAAATGTAGCTTAAGAGTAGACAAATTATAAGAAATCCGGGGGCGCGCAAGAGCCTTCTTTTCGTATCTGATCACTTTTGTGACTGCGAGAAAAACGTTAATTTTCTCAAACTTTTGACGAGACAGATCTGAATCATTACAAACAGACTTATGCCGTTATTTCGATCACTTAGAGAATCATTCTTTTATAGGCTGAACCACTTTTTTGTTAAAAAAAAAACAAAAAAAGAACCGGCAAAATCGTTTTTAATTCTTAAACATTAATTTTTTGAAAAGTAAAACACTTGACTTGTGTGTTTATGCCTAAAAGCAACCCAAAAAAGGTAGAAATGATCGAAGTTGACTCGCAATGATTCTTGTGTCACAAATGCTTTTTTGAAATCATTTTATTGTAATTCAATCAGAATCAGAATCGACGCTCAAAGAAGTAGAATCGCCCTCGAACCAAAAGGGTTCTAAAATATCTTTCATTTCCCAGCCTCATTTCGTTTTCTGCCGCATTTTTCCATATAGCAGTAACAAAAATCGTTCGGAGAATCTTTTGTTTTAATGATTTGAAACAAGGCGGAATCGTACACGAATCAAATCCTCTGATTTTCTTGACGAGTTTCTCAGACTCTTT